TTTGGACCCAAATATGACAGAAAATGCACCATAATGGATTTTGAGTGCCTAGGACAATCTAAAACAGGGTTGATCTTTCATTTAGCCCTTGTTAAAGTCCCATTTTAAGAGAAAGGGTGCATTTTTAAATAGTTACTGATAGAGAACGTGTAATTAAAAATCAAGGAAAAGTTTTGAATTTGCGTAATATTATTTTATTGAAAAATGTGCTATTAAAAATGAGTTTTGAAAAATGAACTTTTAAAAGAATGGGGCTCAACCAAGGGCTTAGTTAATAAGCACACATATAAGCTATTTTACTATCTTTACAAATAAGAATAATCGTGTCAATAGCGTGTTATGAATTAAGGAAAAAGAGAAAAAAATAGAGAGAGTCAATGGACTTGTGTACCCTTTATTGAAAATCAATATCGCAATACCATAATTAGAATTGTAGGATTACAACTGTCATTTGCAAACAGTAATTAATTTAAAATAGCTTTGTTTTTCCTTTTTTATGTATGTGTCTGACATAAGTCTGATTATAATTGTATAATAACAAGCCACAAGCGATTTTTTGGGACCATAACTGCGCTGTCAATCGGCAATTTTATTTTTACTCACTTTTCCATTCTTTTATTTATGAACCCACTATTTGAAATGTGAATTACATCTATGCCTAAACTTATGCAAACAGGATTGCGGAATGTTCCTAATTAAGTTTGCTAAGATAGCTTCGAGTTCGAGGATGAAGCACATTTTTTTTAACCAACGATCACATATTGCATTTATTATACATTCAATTGAACATAAACACCCAGCAAGACGAGGAAAAGAAACACGGGTGCACTGTAAAGATAATATCCCTTTTGCTATGCAGTCTTAATTTAATTAAAATGTTGTGCTATATACACATTTACAACAGACAATATAATAGAAGATGGTCTCCACGGGCATGGTGCAGTGGTAAAGTAGGAAGGTTCTTTACGGAGTATCGGAGATTCGAATTCTTGCGATAGCTGAAAAGTAACATTTATATTGAAAGACAGATGTTCTGTGGAGGTAAAGTTTTCGTAAATGGAGGTCTACATGGAGGAGAATCATACTCCGAATGTCCAGCTCAAATCTGTATAAACTGTGACCATATCTGAATTTACTTGAGTGGCAAATCTCAGGGGGGGAGGGATGTCGCCACTCCTCAGGATTAGTTGGGTGAAACTCGGATACTTGAGTCATATATATAATGGAAGATGAAAAAATAACGCATGATGACCAACATTTACTCAGCAAGTAAGAGCACGGATAATATAGTCTCCGTTTGCTAAGGATTAAAATCCTGATTTTATTTTAAGTCAAAGTCAATAATTAATTATTTTAACCATATATTTTATGAGATTCACAATTTTTTAACAAATCAACCTTTATTAAAATCTACTAAAATTTTGATTTTAATCCTCCTTCCAAACAGGGGTATAATCGGTGACGGATCCAGGATTTTAAGTGAGCACAAGCGAGTGTTGACCGTTGACGGCCGCAATAATAACTAATGCCATGAATTGAAATTACTTATGTTGTAATTCGAATTGTAAGTGTGAGTTTACATTATTTACCTGTGTAATAATGTTTATCGAGTAAACAATTTGAAGTTTGAAAAATGGTCCAAATATTTACTTGGTTAGATTTGCTAATAATTTCAATCTAACAGGAAAAAAGAAGACTATTAATCTCACTGAATGATTGAATTTTAGTTAAAAATTTATTTTTTTTAAAAAAAAGATGGAGTATATCTATTACTTGATAAAAGAAATATAGCTTTTGTTCCATCCATTGTCAACCTTCACAGATTGCTATATAGTAGTCGAAGTGTTTCATTATTCAAATGGAGATCACATGTTCAAATCCTCCATTTGCACCAATTTTAATGTTATTTGCCCCATAATGCTGAAAAATATTAAATTATTTAATTGCAAAAAGGGAATTGCTATCGTTTAGAGTTGAACCCAAGACTCCCATTCACTTATATGGTAATCTAACTAGCTGACCTGTAGGAGTTTGTTGTGAATTACAGGAAATTACAGAAATATATCCAAAAAAGTAAATACTTCATCAAGAAAAAAAAAATGAGTTATGGCGAATCCTGTACGGACGGACGCGGGAGCTGGCCAGGTACTGAATTTGTCGGGCATAATAAAATATTTTCCAAAAAAAATTTGAGACATACCACAAATATCATATTGCGAGATTTTCTTTTATTAGAAGATATTGCAAAAGATTATGCGAGCTTTCATAATATTCCAGAAATTACTTGCACGCACCATATGAAAGAAAAAAAAAATGAAAAAAAATTGCGCTCAGAAACCTTTTAACAGTCTGGCCATTGGACTCTCCTCAACGGCTGGTGAACCTGCCAAGGCAGATCAACTTTTATTAAAATGACAACATTACCCTCATCACTTTTCTGGCAAGTTCTAGATTTTGGTGTTTGATAATCACTTGCAGCCAGAAATGTGGGGTATATAATATCAAATAGATGCGATATGCAGGACAGGGCCACTGATGTCATGCATAATTCACAATGGGTCAAGGCCTGATTTGTTATTTAAAAAAAAAAAAAAAAGGTTGAACCGCAACGTTGAAGACTCTCACCGTTCTGTTCTTAGAGTTTTGTGAAGGAGGTAAATCGCTGAATGTGCACTAGCAAGCTAGGGAACAAGAGCTGCTTGTACACTACGCCTATAAGGAGTCCAATTCCATGTTTCAAGAATCGAATTTCCACACTGCGACTGTCAACAAGGCTGGAGATAACCTTACTTCTATCCTTCACACCACTGAACTATGTTCCGGGGAGCTGATTTGTTATTTATTTATTTATTTTTTTCATAGATATGATTGCACAAGATCTCAATAAGTTTTTGTTTATATTTCATTTTTTTTAAAATTTATTTCTTATCACACATTTTATTTTAAATTAATTTTATTTATAAATTCTAAATATTTCACTAACTTTTAATTTAACATTCTCCCAAAAGTCCTTATAACAAAGCACATTTGTCAAAGAAATGGAGTTACATCTCTAATCCTTCTTTATATACACGAGTTTTAGTATATGGATAGGACCACAGAGCACCTATCCATCCAGGGGCTCTTATATACACATAATTTCTAGAAGTTTCTAAAGATACAGTAGAGTGCCCAAATCAAAAGTTATATTATACTCTCTCCGTCCCATTTAGATAGGTCGATTTTCTTTATTTTCTTGTCCCAATTATATACTCATGTTTTTTTTATTTAGAATGTCTTGTTTCGTTCGTTTTCTAATATACTCTTGTTTAATTTTCCTAATTATAATTAATTTTTTCCACTTAATTTTGAAATTGTACAAATATAAACAAGAGCAGGCTAGAAAAGTTTTTAGCAAAAATTGCTTTTTCAATAACATTAAATAAAATTTCTAAATCTATGTGAATAACAAAAACACTCTATATAAATGGGATGTGGGAAGTAATTCGTTTATGGTTAAGTATATTTTTAGATTTTCAAATTAGTTTCTCCAGGATCATGAATGTAATTAGAAATTCAAAAACGCCGTATTAATTCTCTGTTTGTCTATCATTATTTTGAAAGTTTTTTTCTTAAACTTATTTTTCAACCATATATTTTCATAATAAAATATTTTACGCGTAAAGTCAAAATTTTTGCTTATTTTAACCACATATTCTCGAAAAATTCACTATTCCAAAACTCATTTTTCTATTCTAATAACAAGAAAAAAAAAGGGATAAGTTCTCTCTGATTTAGTTAAAAAAATTAATAAAAATATACAATTAATTTCAATAATACATTTTAAGCAGTCCACAATTTTTATAATTGTTTAATCTACGCATTTCATTAATTTTTGTCAAAATTTATAAAAAAATGTAATTCCTAGCAAAATCAAGCCTTTTTGACAATCATCATTTGAAAAATTTTTTTTTTTTTTTTTTTCTATATACTCATTTTTATCCACACATTCGTACAGTAAAATATTTTACACACAAATTCAAAATTTTTTCTCTACTTTTTAACAACACATTCGCCTAAAAATCAGTATTCAAACCGTTTATACAAATTTATATTTATATGGTATTCTGATTCTCACTTATATTGAAGTAAATGAATCACATCTTTAGTCCTACCGTATCTTACAACAAGGTGACTTGATTTATTGCTGTATGGCCATGTTTTGTTAGATATTCATACAATAAATATAATATGTGAAAGAAACAACTAATTTAGATGGGTGTTCAAGTGGTAAAAAGTGTGGAATTTGTGTGGGAAGTCGAGGGTTTGAGTCATATTCCACGCTCTTGGACTTACTTGATTAAAATAATAATAATTTTTTTATGTTATTTTAATTATTTTCAAAATTATTTAATGGGTCAAACTAGCAGGTATTATATGACCGTTTTAACAATCAAATATAACAACTCACTATCCACGAATTCATTAAATATTACATATTTTTTGGATCATGGAGGAGGCAATTATATCCAATTTGTCTATATAAACTCACATCTCGTTTTGGCAAAAATAAACTTAAAAAAAAAAAAAAAACAAAATAACTAGAAACAAAATCATAATTTCTCATATTCTGAAATTTTTATACTTGAGTTTTTTACATATATTCTGGAGTACACTTGAGAGTTTTGATAAACTATTCGTGATTGCCGTACAAGTGGTTTATGATCGTTGTATCCTGGAGTGATTGTCCACATAGGTTACAACATTTATCGACGAACAATTTTACTTTAGAATATCGTGTTGTCATGATACTTGATCAGTCAATAAATTTTACTTCTACATTTTTATTGTTCTGTATGTTACTGTAATTAATTATTTTTTCAAAAAAAAAATGTAATACGAGAGACAAAAATATGAGAAAAAGCTATTCAAAGTCGAGTCACACCAGACTCCTTTACACTCCTAAAGCCAACGCATCATTAACAATTTTTTCCACCTGTTTGCCCATAAGTAACCCGTGTCTCAATTTTCTCTCGTTCTTCCACGACAACAAAACGCTCTCACTTCATACTATCCTCGACATAAGACCTTAACAAGCAAAAACATTAAAATTTCCGGGCCAAACACAAGATCTACAGAAATCTTTATCGAGAATTATTGACAATATGTTGGTGATGGACAAGTACATTGTGGGAACTTTTCTTGCTTCTCTTTTTGGATCTTTTCTTCTCTATATTTTACTCTTTAAAACTACCAAATCCCATAAGCGAAAGGACCAAGAAGAAGAACGTGAAATGAGTAGGGGTGGCTACCAGATTCGAAGCGACACGACTGTTGGTGAACGCCGGAATGACGAAGGATCCGACCTGGATGTTATTATTGTAGGCGCTGGTGTTGCTGGTGCTGCTCTAGCTTACACTCTGGGCAAGGTAAGTTTTTTGTTTTCTTCTTCTTTTTTTTTTCTTTTTGTATTATATTTTAGTGGAATTATTTTTTTGAATTTTTATTGTTGAGTTCTCAAATGGTTGTTGAGAAATAACCCATAATCTTTTTCCCCACGAATGGGAATTTATTTTTACCTTTAAGACTGGTGAAAACGAAAGAAGAAAGGAAAACTATTTTATTTGCTAGAATTCAATTTTTCTTTATAGGTTCTATTATTGTTGTTATTTGTTTGTCCATTGGGTGAGGGAGAATATGATAAAGATTTGTTGTTTATTATAATGTCATGGGGTTAGTTCTATGAAATATATGTTAATGTGATTCATGATATGCTAAAAAACTTATTATTTTAAACGATGGTTGAGATCTTTGACTCCATTTACAGGATGCCTGATAAAGTTGATTAGACAATTTTAAGAATGAAGAGAAGCTTAATCTAGTTAATTGTAATGTTCAGTCCTATTAAGGCATATCAAACAAACACTAGAAATCTTGACAGCATGATACGTGTAATGAATGACTTCCTCGGCTAAAAGTTTAACACTTTAAGTTTCTAGAGATTGGAGGAATTTACTTAATTTTTTGTTCATATCATTGGCAGTGCCAGATTACTATTGTTGGATTGAAAGGATGATATCTGCTGTTACTTTTTAATTCTCGCAGAGTTGGTCATTTTTTTTTCGCCCTCTGAAAAATCATTTTCCTGATTTTGTTTGTGTGCTGCATATGATATAAACTGTTTTTAATAAACTATTTCCTCAGAAGTGCAAAAGTCAGTAAGCAGTAATTTGTTCATTTTACTAATATTGAAGGATGGACGACGAGTACATGTGATTGAAAGAGATTTATCTGAGCCGCACAGAATTGTTGGTGAATTACTACAACCAGGTGGATATCTCAAATTGATAGAGTTGGGCCTCGAAGGTATTCTTGAAGTTTACCTTGATATTATTTGTTTTCCTTTGGATGTCTGCCAAGTATTGATTTGAGGAACAATGAACATGTTCTTGATAGCTAGTTTGGTAAGGTGCGACTACACACACACACACACACACACACACACATGTTTTTAATTAATCTTTTTAGGTGGCACAAAACATAATACGATAACAGTGATCTCACCTTGTCTGAAGGCGGGGGAATACACTAAAAACCTTAAACGAACTACACTTCATGTTCTATAGTCGAGTGTGTTGTCTCTTTGTCTCCTAGTCCATTTTAGATTCGCTGCTTGAAGGAAATTACATAAGTTTAATACCATACCCAAAATTCGAGAAGTTCATAGCTTCATCATTGTCTCCATGAATGAATCCATTAAAGCCCCCCTGGCATTAGACAATATCAAAGAACAAACAGAAGCTAAAATTTTTGTATGTTATATTGTTGAGTCCTATTTAATACTGAATATTAAACATACCTTTATACTTTTCTGCTATGAACTACAGTTTGTAATTTGATTGCAGATTGTGTTGAGAATATTGATGCCCAGAGGGTGGTTGGATATGCTCTTTCCAAGGATGGAAAAAACACTAAACTTTCCTATCCCTTGGAGAAGTTTCACTCAGATGTGGCTGGGAGAAGCTTTCATAACGGACGCTTCATACAGATGATGAGAGGGAAAGCAGCGACTCTTCTCAAGTATACTTTGTTGCCCATTTTTTAAGTTTGTAATCTTAAATCTTTCAAAATTTTGCCCCCTTTTTGGGTTTTCATTTTCTTTAGCTGTCTATTTGGAAATCCTGCTAAATTAAGCCCACTAGTTGCTTTGTCTTTTTCTTTTTTTTTTGAAGCACTTTTCTCAATTTGATATTATTTCTGTTCATGTGATTCTTTTGAGTGTTGAACTTATACCGGCCCTTCCTGATACTGCTTTCTCCTGTCCTCAATAGTGTGAAGCTCGAGCAAGGTACTGTAACATCTCTACTTGAGGAAAATGGAACAATAAAAGGAGTGCAGTACAAGACTAAAGCCGGTCTGGAGCTTAAAGCATATGCTCCTCTGACTATAGTTTGTGATGGCTGCTTTTCAAATTTGCGTCGTTCTCTTTGCAGCTCTATGGTAAGACTCAAAGCTCTAGATTGTAGACAACTTAACCAGTTTCTCTGGTTCGTATACTTGATCGATTGAACTTAAAATTGATCCCCACTGAAGGAAGGGAATCTGATCACTTTACAGGTCGATATTCCCTCCTGTTTCGTTGGTTTGGTATTGGAGAACTGTCAACTTCCATTTCCAAACCATGGGCATGTTATTCTAGCAGATCCTTCACCGATCCTATTTTATCCAATCAGTAGCACTGAAATTCGATGCTTAGTTGATGTACCTGGTCGAAAGCTTCCGTCTCTGGCTGATGGTGAAATGGCAAATTATTTGAAAACAGTTGTAGCTCCCCAGGTATGTATGGCTTTCATTGCATGATAGGAGTCTCTCGATATTAATAAAAAACCCTGATTTTGTTAATCAGATATTTCAAAAAATTGTGTCTTAGTTTCTGTATTGTCAATAACCTATGAAGCAGAGATACAAAATTCAAGAATGTTTAGGAACTGCCTATCTTTTCTTTCATCTCGGGAGAGATGTGATCGGTAGGAACTAATTAAACCCCAGCCTCTCTTGAGATAACAACAGCCCTTTTCTTACCACTTCCAGTTCAATTCTTTTCTCCATTCGAATGAAAAAACAACTTGACTTCTTATTATTTATAAGTAATTCTAGAAATGCCCCTTAATTCCTTGTTAAAACCATTTGGCAGAACTAGTAAATTCCAAAATCTCTGTTATTTGTGCATCTTTATTTATATGTGTTATACTTTTATTGTCAACTTATTCTTTCAATATTATCAATATCCTTTGTAGCTTTGAGCCAGTGTAATTGTGTTGGGAAAGTGTTCTTCGCATGTCAAAAAATTTAATAAATATATAAAAATTACGACATGTCATGTGTCTTGTTGGAGTGTTGGTGTTTGACATTGGGTGGACCATGCAACCCTAGGAGTATCTATGCTTCATAGACTATAATATTATTTTCTTTCTTGGGCTTGCTTTCGGCTAACCAATGCACTTTTTGATTTAGGTTCCAACCCAGTTACATGAGGCATTCATATCGGCCATTGATAAAGGAAATATTCGAACAATGCCAAACAGAAGCATGCCAGCTGCTTCCCACCCTACTCCTGGAGCCTTATTAATGGGTGATGCCTTCAACATGCGTCATCCTTTAACCGGTGGAGGCATGACAGTGGCACTCTCTGATATTGTTGTGCTCCGAAATCTTCTTAAGCCCTTGTGCAACTTGAAGGATGCGGATTCATTGTGTAAATATCTCGAGTCTTTCTACACTTTGCGCAAGGTGAAGCCTAGATTCATCAATCTTGATCTTTCATTTCTTTAGTAAAATATTTTATTGCTTCGTCTACATGTATCAAATTAATTGCCTGGTCGTTGACTTATTTAGTTTATACCTTTTTTCCTTCGCTATTCTTTTGTGGAGTTGAGTTAGAACCTTATTAATCGTTATTTGCGTTTTGACTGCTATGTTCAGTTCTCCCACATGCAAGTCTAAAGAGTCTAATCACTACAGTATTCAAGCTCTAATTTTTATATTTACTGTTTTTTGATATGGTCCTTTTTTTGCAGCCAGTGGCCTCGACGATTAATACTTTGGCTGGAGCACTACACAAAGTGTTTTGTGCTTCGTCTGATCAAGCGAGGATGGAAATGCGCCAAGCTTGCTTTGATTACTTAAGCCTTGGAGGTGTTTGTTCGAGAGGACCTGTGGCTTTGCTCTCGGGTCTAAATCCTCGCCCACTGAGTTTAGTATTCCATTTCTTTGCCGTTGCTATATATGGCGTTGGTCGATTATTGATACCATTTCCTTCTCCCAAACGGCTGTGGATTGGAGCTAGATTGATTTCGGTATGTACCTGATTTTTCCTTTTATCCTTCGATGCATGGCTAAAAGAAATTGTAGTCATGCCTATTTCCTTCTCCAATTTGCATCTTGGAAATATATAATGACTACTACTAAGCTTTCGATTTTTGAATTAACAATTTCTCAGGACAACATTGTAGTCAGGTTTGCTTGAAGCCATACATTCAGCTGTTTGCTAGGCATGCTAAGCACCAAATTGGTGCATAAAATAGCTTCAATGGTTTATGAATTATACACGAAACACACAAAATTCACAAACTTTCAAGTGCTCACAGCAGAACTTTTTTGTGTTGAATACGTATTTGACCTTGACTACTAAGAACATTAACACCAAGATTTCACTAGCATACTAAGGCCAGCATCTGTCAATTTAATTTGACCTTCCACATAGGGGTTTCCAAACGTGTCGGACATGACACAGGCTGGGGCGGCTGTAGTGCCGGCTCGATCGGTATTAGATATTTTAGTTCAGCATGCCCAAGAAAAAGGGCAGGTCGGTTTACACTTTAAACCTATTACGAGATATTTGAGGTGGAAGATCATCTTTTCTATTTAATTGGCTCTTCCCGCAACTTTTTGTTTTCCAGGGTGCGTCGGCTATCATTTTTCCCATCATAAAGGCGGAGGGAGTTCGACAAATGTTCTTTCCTGCTAGTGTTCCATCGTACTATAGAGCTCCTCAGCTCAAATGAAAGTAGCATCATGAACAAGGATGGAACAAATTGTACAGCCAGAAGAAACAATTATGGCATATTTGGTAAAGTAGATTTAAACTTTTAGATGAACTAAATTTCTGTCCACTATTTTATTTTGGACTATGTAATACTGCATATGAAATATACAGTTAGATTTTTACATTTTTTTTTAATCACAGTGTCTTTCCTTTTGTTCAAAGTTGTATACAGAAAGAACTTACGAGCAGATAGTTGTTTAGACCCGCGGTACTGTGAATATACTCAAGATTGGATAGTGAGCAAGTGGAAGTAACGAGACACTGATCATGGCTGATAAATCACAGCTCTCTTCCACTCTTCTCCCTCTGATTATCAAATTGAAATCTCTTTATACGCTCAGATGACCTGTTACTCTTCTCTCCCTCGCCTCTGCCTCTGCTGAAACTTTTTCACAATGGCTTGGGTCTATAGGGATATGTTGATGGAAAAATCTCTCCATCCAGACGCTCTTTTTCAAAACTAGAAAGAATTCCAAATCCTGCTAATGAGTTTTGGGTACGGCAAGATAAGCAATTTTTTGGAGCTATTATTGCCTCAATATCCGAAGAAACCCAGATGTATGTCACAGCTTGCAGTACATCTCTTGAGGCATGGAGTAAACTTGAAGAAAGGTATGCTAGGCCTTCCCGTGGGCAAATACTTGGCATCAAAGCGAGACTAGCTGCTTTGATTGGTGCTCGAAAAATTCTAAATATCTTGATGACATCAAAACAGCGGCTGATGAACATGGACTGTGGTATCAACCACTTGATGACGAAGATTTGACAAAGAATATTATCAATCGGTGGAATCCTGACTTCAAGTCTATCTCTGCGTAGGGACATATCCATCTCTTTTGTATGGCAGCCACCTTCTAGCTATTACCTTCATGTTATGTTAGCGATTAGACCCAGAGCCTATGTAGCAAATCACTCCAATCCATCGTCCAACTATGGTTCTCAAATACATTCCGCTTGTGGCTAATGGATTCAGTCTCTTCTCATCATTTTACAATGGACCTCTCACGACGAGTATGATGGGTCTGGTTATCGTTGATGATGGTAAAGGATTCGATATCACTCACACAGGCTCAAATAAATTACCGTTTCTGAGTTGTGTAGCTCTAATAATGTAGCAAATCACTCCAATCCATCGTCCAACTATGGTTCTCAAATACATTCCGCTTGTGGCTAATGGATTCAGTCTCTTCTCATCATTTTACAATGGACCTCTCACGACGAGTATGATGGGTCTGGTTATCGTTGATGATGGTAAAGGATTCGATATCACTCACACAGGCTCAAATAAATTACCGTTTCTGAGTTGTGTAGCTCTAATAATGTTTGTGTTGAGAAGTGGAATAAATTGCACACCCAGATAAACTCACGTTTTCATATTATCTCATCACTAGATAGAAGCATTTTAACATTCCAATGTTAGCAAATGCACACTAATTTGCAGCTGTGGTCAATTTTGCAAAGTATACTGTTAGGTTCAAAATTAAATTGGCAAATTCAGTGTTCAAAATGGGAAGTCATTAATTTGTAATAAGAGTTAAAGTCGTTTTGGGTTGGTAGAGTCCTAAAGGGAGTCAAAGACAATTCAAGAAGATCAAGAAAGGAGATTCGTAGCTGGCTGCGCTTGAGCACTCAAAACCGGACATTCGTCGTTTGCTAGCTGTCAGGCTGGCACTCAAAAGGCAATGTGGTATAGCTGGACGCTATTTCACAATTCTTTGAACAATTTTTCTATTTTATTTTAACCAAACACTTCATATTATGGCTCTGTTTGACTCACATTCTTTTAAAAAAATACATTCTTAAATAGTGATTTGATATCATTTCAATCACACATTGTTCAATAAAATAATATCACACGCGAATCCAAAATTTTTTCTTATTTTTAACCACTTATTTCTCAATAATACATTATTCAAAAATACATTATTGTGAAAATAATGTGGTTCAAACAAGTAAATATACTCAAACCATACTTCGTCTCAAAGTGTCGTTGAACATTATTTCATACTACAGAACACATTGAAGATCATACAATACGATCCAAAGATCAATTGACTAAATCACAAATTCAAAACATTAAAATTCCAAATTCTCAAAACACCCAACCGAACATTTCCAATCGTATATTAGAGTTTTGAAGATCCAGAAAGTTGATTGGAGTTTCGATTTGTGAAGAACAAATTTGTTCTTGGTGATTGATGAAGATAAAAGAATTCAGAAGTTCTGGAGTTGGCGTTGAAGCGCACAACTGAGAGGATCTTCGGTGATTACAAGTTGGGGTCAGAGTCTACTAAGCCTTTAAACGCTGATCATTATAAATAAGAAGTTTCAGCTTGTTATGGATAAAATATGTCAACATTGCATTTAAAATTTATAAACTTAAACTAGGCAAACACATGAAAGTGAAAATTGTTTTACCAATACAAATGTTGAAATGTTGGCTTTTTTTAATAACTATTCACAAGATGTTTGTATTAAATTTTGAAGATAAATATGAACAAATAAAATTGAATTAGTCAGGATTTAGTGTTGAGGGAGATGAAATATTGGTGAAATGAAAGAGCCTTTCGTTTGTCTGAAATTAAATTGTGTTTACCATGATATTTTCTTTGTGATTGAAAGGATATTCATGTCTTTTACCTTTAGCTTATTTTGGTAATTTTTAAATCTTTACGAGTCTTGAGTGGTTATATTCACACCACATTTTTTTTCTTTATAAAATGCATTTTAATTATATTGAAGGTCAATAATCTTTAATCATTATCACACTTATACTCTTAACTTTCTTCGTCACATTCTTATTTTTAGCATTTTATTAATTAGAAAATATTGTCTTCAATCCTGATTTTCATCTAAAAATATTGTTAATGTGCTTTAAAATGAAAGTCAAATATTTAGAGCCTGTGTGGGAGTGATTTTGAAAATTGATTTTTTGACCGCTAGGAAAAAAAGTAGGGTCACCTGTGAGAGAAGAAGTCAAATATGATGGCTGGAATAGTGAAATAATGGTCAAAAAATCAATTTTTTTGGCCAAAAAATCACTCCCAAACAGGATGTTAATTTCACTTTTTTCATCATCATTTGTTCAGGTCAGCTCGAAAGAATCACCGCCATTATCTCAACAAACATCACGATTGCAAATTGCCTGCGACTTGTCAAATCACCCAGTTGGATAGGCAATCTCTGGAGAGAGTGACGTCAGCACCGCCTCATCCCACCAATCGGTTACCATGATTTCCTCATCTATGGCAAGTCATCATTACTCGATGGAACATTGAACAGATGGCTGCCGAGTCATCCAATCATAGCGAAGATCGACAATGCATTATCCAAGCTTATCACATTAGCTGATTTGATTGACATGAAGCTGTTCCAACCAAAGACTTCCTATAAATAATGAGGGTCTTTCCATAAAAAGGGAGGCAAGGAAAAAAAGAAACACACTTTAAATATAAAAATCAAAGAGGATAAAGAGAGGGTTGGTGGGTAATAATCTTTACAATTGTGAACGTCAACAACATACATTCTTGGTCTTTTTCGCAATGGAAACAAAGTACCTTTCTTTTTTAATAAAGTTAGCTCGAAATCAAGATTTACAAATTTCGACGTCAACAGTTTGACACTACAAGGAGGGCCATCTTGTGAAAAACTGCCTCATCATCCCATAAAAAGACAACCAAAAACAGAAGTCATGAGCCATAGGTCCACGTCGGGGAATCAATCTCACACTCACCCAAATGAAACCGACGTCCCACGAAGTCTCCCGAGAAGGCAAGACCAAAGTGGGATAGGCAAACCACTAGTAATCTCAATGAGAAAAGCCATTGAAAGACTAAAGAAGGCAGTCAGTCGATTAGAACGAGACCGGGCCCATACTTCCCTATTATAAATCGAAGTGGAATCTTCGATTGGGGTAATGGCTAGACGACTTTCTACCAAGAGACTTCTCCACTTTTCCAAAGCAGAATCTTCCAAAAGTCACACTGACTAGGTCAGAACTCAAGCCCCAGTGACGAAACAAATCGTGAGGAAGGAGCGTGTTCGACGGACTGGGCTCCCTGCACTTCTCAGCTTCTACACAAGAACGTAATGCTTGAACAAGAAGAACTTGAGATGAACGCCTTGAAAAAGCGCATTTCTGACCTTGAAGCTAAAAACAAAGGAGGGACGGAAGAGTATCTCACCAAACGACACTCCCCATTTGCTGAAGACATTCTCACCGAACCTCTCCCAGAGAAATTGAAGATACCCGAGATAATCACATATGAAGGGGAAGGCGATTCCTCAGTCACTTGGACAAATATACCTCGTGGATGGAATTGAAAGGGATAAGTGATGCCATCATGTGCTGAGCTTTCCCATTTACATTGGGAAATAAAGCCCAGAGATAGTTCAGGAGGTTGCACCAAAGGTCTGTGAAAAACTGGAACGACCTAGCGGCAGCCTTCCTAACCTAATTCATGTGCTCTAAGGCCAAAACTATGCCCAAAGAGTGGTTGGTAAGCAACAAGCAAGGAAAAAGTGAATCACTCAAAAGCTACCTAAGTAGATTTAACAAGCAATCTATAGAGAAAAAATTTCTAATGACGTCGAGCTCATGACCGTACTCTCCGGATTATTGGTGGTCGGTACATGAGGATGGCCCTTCAAACTTACCACGAATTCCTCTCTCGAGCTGAGAAGCATATAAGTGCAGAGGAAGCAATGTCGGATCAGGATGACGCTTGGAACGATCCCAAATCCAGGAGTCATATTAAGGAAAAAGGGTCGGATACAAACCCTTTGCCCGACAGAAGGAAGGATACTAGGGAAAAGGATCGTGCTAAACCCCATTCATACATGTTCCATGAATATCACCCGCCAAAGACAACTCTTGAAGAAGTCTTCCTACAAATAGGAGACAATGAAGCATTCAGAAGGCCAACCACCCACAAAAGGGACCAGTTGGGAATAACCAAGGTAGGTACTTTCGGTACCACAGGTCGACGAGTCATGATACGGACAATTGTTAGGACTTAAGGAAGGAGGTCGAATCATTGATCCGCTGAGGTCGACTACAAGAGTTCGTTGCTAAATTAGGAGAAACAGGTCAACCCAGGCCATCGTAGCCGGAGCTTGATCAAAGAGCCCAGCAGTCTGTCCCGAATTAAAACCTACCTCCCAGAGCAAAAATCAGTATATTGAAGGATCCAGGAGGGTGAGGTGCAGGCGCTTTCGAGATGTTCGCGTTTGCTAGAATTTTGGGGTAAGAGCCCCAAAGTCCGACCTCGAAACGATAGTTGACCCTGAATGGTTCTGGTTCTCTGAAGGGGAGTCTCAAGGGATCCTGCAGGACCAAAGTAATGCTTTGGTGAAAACTCTACCTGTTGCGGGAATAAAAGTACATAGGACACTCGTGGACAACATGAGTTCGATCAACGTACTGTATTATCGGACCCTGATACAGCTGGAGATATCAGAATGATATCTCCAGCCATATCTTCGGAAGCTGCAAGGGTTCTCCGAAGATCCCATTGAAGCCCGAGGTCAGATCGTCTTGATCGTCGAACTAGGAGAGGCCACTTGTCAAAGGAGAATTTTAGCCGACTTCGTAGTAGGTGATCTACCATCTAACTATAATGCCTAATTTTTCGATTTTACGCAATTTTTAACCTCGTTTCCATATCCTATATTATTTCCAGGGTTTGGAATGTCCCCTATAAGTATGTGGCTCTTTTATTCAGTTTATGAGAAGTATTATTGTTGAGTTTGTATTATTTTTTCTTTATTGGTTGTCATTAATAAAACATCGATTCCTCTGCCAGTCTTTTTTCTTCTTTATTTTAAATTTTGTTTCTATTTTTGTGATCTTATA